AAAACAGAGAATTGGTTTACCCCGAACAAATAGTGTTCTGATACTTCTTATGTCATTAATTTACCTATCGCAGGGTGGTTATGAGAGGAGAAGATCTAGCTTAAAGTTTCATTGGTGAGTTTAGCGGCAAAATATCTGATTGTGACGTCACAGATTTAAAGGTAAGCTTTTTCTGCTTTCGCGAGATTGGTGCAGCGAAATTTCTCTAGACGTGGCAAGTCAAATGGATAGCCATGTCCTGATACTTCTGATGTCATTAATTTACCTATCGCAGGATGGTTATGAGAGGAGAAGATCAAGGTTAAAGTTTCATTGTTGAGTTTAGTGGCGAAATCTCTGATTGTGACGTCACAGATTGAAAAGTAAGCTTTTCATACTTTTGCGACATTGGTGCAACGAAATTTTTCTAGACCTGGGAAGTTAAATGAACAATCATGTCCAAGGAGCATTTTCGTCATTTGTACTGGCTAGAAACTACGCAGGACATGGTAGACGCCATCAAAATCTAAAACGTCACGGTTTTTAGTGTGGAATTTTCAACGTGGCCTCGCCACCTGCATTTATATTCTGCATTTTCTCGTTTTCCAAGCGTCTTCTTCCAATAGGTCTGATTTTGCGAAACCGTAGTTTACTATTATCGAAACCGTAGTTTTCGATAATTGCGACACCGTACCCTACTTAAACGTTCCGTATGCGAGTCCAATATTTCCATATGTTTCCATAAAGAATACACATGTTTCCTATATATTTTCCAAATATATCCGTAAGATCCTTATGGAAACATATATAATAATAATTGGACATCGCATTCGGAACGTTTCAGTAGGGTGGTTTACTATTATCGAAATAATCGTCGTTGCCGTACGCGACCCTTTACCGAGCAATGGTGTCACTACAAATAACGAATTCTTTTTATCCGAAGGGAGCTTGTCGCTCAGCGTACAAAATGCTCACGCACCATCACTCGAGGTCATTCTGGATGAGGTGAAGTCGACCACGCTGGCCTCCCATCCGTGCAGCTCGATGGACAACGCGTTGTTCATCAAGCGGTAGTGGGCTACGCGACGTCGGGCGGGCTTTAACAACACGTGACCGAGTGTCAGGGCCCGGTGCTCAAACAGAAGCTCGGTCTCAGCGACAGCTAACGCTAGCGCTACCTGCTGGACGATTGAGCGAACCTGAAGCGGGCTGTCGAACACTCCGAGCTGTGGAAAAGAGATATGTGGTGCGATACTGATGAGCACTTATGTATCATTACCACGTGGATAAGCTCACCACCTCAGCTCTAAAGCTCTACTGTCCTGTTGAATATGTAAAAAAGACTGGAACAGCGCTGAAGCCGCTGTTTCGACGAGCAGTCCAGTTATCTTCAAGGCTTCAAGTGTCTGGCTTAGCGCCTGTACTCGTTCGCATCGTACTATCTCCATCAAGCCAAACGAAAGAGACGAAGCATACTCATACATGTACTAAAGCAAGCCAAACGAAAGAGATGAAGCATACTCATACACGTACTAAAGCAAGCTAAACGAAAGAGACGAAGCATACTCATACACGGTGCACCGACGAACCACATGCGTGCGTTGTAACGCGTTTTTCTGTGTAAAGTTGTAGCCTTGCCCTGTTCCTGTGTAGAGGAAATGCAGCTTCGTATTAGCCTCGTGCTCAATCTTTCCATGGGGAGAGGGCACGGCTCCAAGTATTCGGTGGTGTTCTTCTCTATGAAGAACTTCATTTACAATGTATTTTCCTTACCACGGGAAAATTGGCCTATTTTTGTATGTTGCAGCTAGGAATTTTCTGTGCCGTTGCTACTAGGTTTACAGTGCCATGCAATACATTAAAATAAAAACGAATGAACGTACTTTTGAATGCTTTTCATTTGGAAACAGTGAAGAAAATTCATTTGGCGCAAAAAATTCGTATACAATAGAATTATAAAATTTTCAAGAATTTTTTTAATCAAAGCGATATCTCCGACACAAAATTTTTCTCAGGAATTCTGAAATATACAAAATGTTTATTAATCACAGGGCAACATTATTTAGAAGAGTTGTTAAAATTGACGAAGCTGTTTTTGAGTTACAAAAAACTGCCTGATGCATAGCGAAATAGCGAAGTTCTGAGTTGGTCCTACGCGAGATTTTTTTTCTTCAAGAAAAAAAATTTCTGCTAAATATTACATACCAAAATGCAAGTACTAAATGTAGGGTTTGAAAGGTACATTTGACGAAAGAACTGGCAGATATAAAGAGGTAACAAAAATTGACAAACACAAATAATTAGGTTTGTTCACAACAAACGTCGTAATGATATACTTATATCTTCCGAGTAAAAAATTATGGAACGTTATGAGAGATGCAAAATATTTAAAACAGCGTATTGGAGTAGGATTGAAAAAATGAAAGTTATAGCTCAAGAACTTCTCGAGCTATAAATTGTGCACTACTGCGGAGCGTCATGCCGAGGTCGATGCCCGGATCCCTCTGGGGTCGGAAGTCCACGCGTCTTTGTGCTGGAGGCAGCACATCGCCCCCATATGAAGTAGACACGCCAGAAATTATAATAACAATATGTGGGACACATACAGAGCAAGTCAGCCAGCTCCAGAACACGACAAACAAAAGAGAAGGTGAAAACCAAACATACCCGCGACTAACAGTTGACGTTCCCGGCTGATCTGATGAAATTTCTTCATCGGAGCTAAAATCCGATGTCACCACATCGTTGTCTGATTCCTCACTACTCGAGGAATTCAAAAGATCGCTCGTCGAGGCGTCGGCATCGAGCGAAATCGCTTTTTTTTTTTTTTTTTTGAGCGCGCGTGGTTTCTGATGTTGACGCCATCGCGTGAATCACATGCGCTTCAACCTTTGAACGGGCGTGACCTTTAAAAATCACCGCCACGCGGTAAAAATGCGAACCGTACAAAAAAAGCAATTCTAGTGTGTGTACCATCGCCTAGATGGCGCTACAAGTCCATAAGCACGGTGTTTTTGAAAAATAGGGGCGCGAAATAATCGTTCACCGGTGAACGATGCCTAGTGGCGTGGTAAGGAAAGAGTTAAATCAACCTTTTTTGTCGTTCCTTAAATAAGAATGGTTATGCAAAGAATTGCCGAAGTAGTTTGTATGAATTTGTGTTTATGAGTTCGCGCACCAAGGAGCTTACCGGCATTTTGGAAAATGGCTGCCCGGCGTTTTCCATGAAGATGACGGCGTAGGGTGGGTACAGCTTTCGTCCATCTGTAATAGTGACGTAGTACATGCGAGCTCAGGTTTAGTATTATGGAAATCTTGCTAAGCCAAATGTAACTCACGATGTTCGACAATATTACTCTCTGAAATACACTAACGTTCCTATATTCTCCTATTGCCTCAGCGTCAAGCAATCTACAACTCCTTCAACCTTGCCGCAGCTAACTAGATTACAATACCTCCGTCTTCAAGTATCCGACCAATGTATATTTGCGTATAGTTCAGTTGATTTGCTTCTTATACATACTAAAAGGTCAAAAAAGGGCAGCCTATGAATATTGCAAAAAATATTATGCAGTTGAATTTGAGTTTATCTAACCCAGTTAAAGCTAATTATTTTTTGTATTGAAACAGGCCAATGGCAATGGTGAAAGCTATCTGGCAGGCCATAGCTACTGGCACTACCACGTATGAAGTATCACAGTAAAATTTATCCGCTCGTTTTGTCTACCCAATCTTGCGTATCTAAAATCAATCATGATGGCCAACGTAAACATAAACAGTAGAACAAGAGGAAACGACGACACAGCATCTGCATCGTCTTTACCTTGCACAGTGTTCTGTTTCCACAGGTCATTGTGACTATTCTTCAACTCACCTCAATAAGCTACCTCATAAAACATCACTCCTCAGCTATGAGAAACCAGAGTTCAAGTGAAACGAAAAGTGACTGCCCACTTTGCACAGATTTTCGATTTCAGTAAATTGTTACGCTTTTCATTCTGGCTGAAACTAACGGGGAAGTCTAGAATAACCTCATCACAACCCCTAAACATCGCGGCAAACAAGTTTATGCGCCAATAGACTTTTGGTACGTCCGTACGGAAAGCACGATGACCAACTGTAACACACCAAAAAGTAGAAGGACGTGCGAACAGGGGAATGCACCTAGCGATTTCACATTTAGCTTTCGTGAGCATTTTAGGGATATTCAAGCAACATAAAACTTCACCAACCAACTGAATTCGCGAACCAATTACAAATTGTTGAACAGTAAATTCCGCTACAAGAGTAGTCTTTTTAGCGCGACTTTGGCAGCGACATTTCCTTTTCAATGAATTTTCATCACTTTCAGCTACCTCCTTTGCTCAAGAGACTATCTATCGGAGCCGCAAGTATATAGAAGCTGCTGTGGAGAACCTAGCAAACTCTCGGCTGAGCCGCAAGTATATAGAAGCTGCTGTGGAGAACCTAGCAAACTCTCGGCTGAGTGGCTTCACCGTCATTATGCTATGATTGAGGCCCTGTGATTTGGGCTCATTCAAAGCCGCAAGCCACGCAACAATTACATTATTTTTTCGCATATAACGCCCACTACCGTCAGCTTAGAAATTAGAGCTGAAGCAGGGATTATGAGCAGTTTTCTTATTGCGGGTTTAAAGTTAGAGGTGCGTGTTATACGCAGGAAAGTATTCTATGCGAGAAAATACGGTAGTTTGTAATGTGTAACATGTTTCACGCAAATGTACCATTTGCATGCCTATGTTGGCGGTAAACATTTAACATTCACCTCATTCATTTCATCCTCTGTGTTGTCGGTACATCGTGGTTCAACAGTAGGTAGTCGTTCGCGATTATCGACAGCTTGAAAGAGCAATGTAAGACACATACGATTAAAATACAGACTACAGTGTACAACTAATGTGAAAAAAAATCTTCGTTCTCGAATAAATATGTCAACATGTTTCCGGGTATTAGGATTTACGAAACTACTGTAATTATTGCAGGTAAAGTAACGAAAACGAACACCTTCTGTTTCGTTCTTGCTTGACGTTGACAAGATTTAGGACTGGTAACACCAGTACTGCTTACTTAAGTTCACAGCGAGACCAGCTAAAGAAACAAGTTAAGAAACACGTACATTCCTGTTGTTATACACGCTAAAAAAGAATGAAAACCTTGAAGACCAGTGGCTTTGTGCTCACAATCTCGGAAATCTGCTGAGCCCGTCCTCTTCAAGTAGCTGGTACACGCAGATTCCAGGAGCGGCGGGTAGTGGTCGCAAGTGCAACGGGCCCTGTAAAATAACGAATTTGATCGGGAAAGGAAAATTCAAGCCGTGAAGACTTTCTTTTCCTTCAATTTGATCTACTTTTACAGCTGTATTTAGAAATGCACCTCGACTTGAGCTTGATTTTCCACGGCCTTGGATGCAGCGAGTTTGAAACGCCGCGTTTGTGCTGCCTTTGCACCGCGTAAAGCCGCGCGTTCGAAACACGTTTGTGCTGCATTAAAGACAGTGGCCAATAATGTTCATGTCAAAAGCGTTTCTGAATATGGGGTTTAGTGTCTTGCGGTGGTAAATACTAGATTGGAAGGATGAAAAAATGACCGTACAACAACAATGCATTTTATGAACATACATAAAGCTCAGCTTCGTTTCGCAGCACTTGGAAGTCACTTTTTAGGCGTGAAGCTCCTTAAAGTGGCACCCGTTCGTCCCTCGTAGTAGTCATAGTTGTAGTGTGTAACTAGTCTTACGTTTTGACCTGCAAGGTGGGGCCGGTGGGAGAGTTCTCCTGTGCGTTGTTGAACAATAAAAAATTCGCAGCGGGCGCGTTAAGTAAACGCCAAATTCTTCTGTCTCTCATTCCCCATTAGCAGCCATTGGCATGTACATTGAGCACTATCTGACAAGAAAGGGTTGCTACGTTATACACGCTGGGCGTAACCGTCTTGGTTTTAGAAAGGTTTTGTGAGTGTTGAGCCGTAGTGCCAAGAATACAGTGAACTAGTATATATTCATTAACTCGAGGTGGTTGAAGGTGAGAAGTAGATACGAAGCGCAAGCCGTAAGAACGTGTGCGTCTGCCACCTCTCGTTTTTTTCTTGGAATTTCCGCTAACTGACGGTGCTTCTGTATGGGGAATATATGATGAAAAGATGCGAGATGGTAGTACTTGGAGTGTTGAATAGATGGACGAACGGACGGACGAACGGATGGCTGCACGAACGGATGGACGCATGGACGGACGCAGCGACGGACACACAGATGGACGTGCGGACGCACGAGCAGACGCACGCATGGATGGGCGGATGTGCACACGGACGGTCACACAGACGGACGCATGGACGGACGGAAGCAAGAACGAATGGATGGACGGATGCTTCGCCCCACTCTCCGTCATTCACTCCGTGGATATGCTGCCATTTTTTTGCTCGGGGATGCGCTTCTTGTGCTCCACGCAGTACTGCTCCGTCCAGTTCTGCGTTCGCCCTTCTTTGGAAAAAGTGTCTTGTGGTTTTGAACGCCACAAGTTACATAGGAGTTGTAAGGGGCAAGCTAGTTTTTTGAGCTATTTGTTTTAGGTTACTCGCCTTGCCCTGGATGCACATACGGAAGCGCCAACGTGGTTGCTGATTCCAGGACAGGCAGCGGCACAACGCAATCTCAAGGCTCTTCCTACCTCTTCATAAGCCTTCCCTCTTGCTTCCAAGTCGGCTCTTTCCTCCAGAGGTGAATGTCACGCCTGGGCCCTGTGGGCTAGTGCCTTTCACCCTACCCTCCACTTTGGCACTCCACTGTGCTACCATTAGCGCTCGTTATTCACGAAATGTAGTACTTCGCCATCGTCCTTTAAGATGTCAGCCCTATCACTATCAAAAGTGTGGGGTATAGAAGAACAGTTGGAGTTCTTCTATACCCCACACAGAAGAATGCGTGGTTTAATTATCTATTGGTCGAAGCTATGCTTAGTACTGCCTTTTTCTAGATCCTGTTTTCTATGGAGAGGGATCTAAAGCCTCGGCCAATCAGAAATCGGCGAGGAATCTGTTTTGCATCTGGACAGCACGAGCAGCCACTGCCATGATCAGCAAGTTCTTCGGAAGTTTGCAGACAGAGTTTCGATTTAAAATATCGATGTTAAAACAAACTTTTACTGTAAATGATATGGGCAAACAAAAATCGGTGACTGAAATGACTGTACGACGATTCAAATATTCCCGCTATTCTAGAGAAACGAACCCGTATGATTTTGGATGGGTGGCAAAGTAATTTAGGCAGCTCGTACATCCGTCTAAAAGGATAAGCAGATAACTTTTATGACAAACACCTCCTAATTTATTACAAAACACCGACAGAAGGCATTGGAATCTCAACCGTGAGCTCTTTATATCAGCCTGTGGCAAAAACTGAGTAGATAAAGGATAGATAAATCAGTATCGTTATTTAATTTCCTGTCTGGTCTTTTAAAGCCGTAGCTCACCAATGTGACTCCGACGACTTCGATATATGACTTTGTTCTCACTTTCATTTACTCCGTTTATAAAAGTATACCTGACCTTACTAAAGATATTAAGTAGAGTTATGCAATGGCATTTTAGGTGTCACCGCAGGAGCAGAATATTACCAAGGTGGACAATAACCATAACAGAACTTTGTCCAATTGTTCATCGTGTGTTGTGTGATGATGATGGATGATGATGATGATGATGATGATGATGATGATGATGATGATGATGATGATGATGATGATGATGATGATGATGATGATGATGATGATGATGATGATGATGATGATGATGATGATGAT